AAAAGAGTAGGAGGAAAGAAAGAAAAAGAAAATATTGAAACATAAAAAGTGTAGGAGGAAAGAAAGAAAAAGAAAATATTTAAGAAGAAAAAGTCGGAGGAAAGAAAAAAAGAAAATATTCAAAATGAAAATTTAGGAGGAAGGAAAGAAAAAAGATAAATATTTAAGAAGGAAAAAGTAGGAGGAAAGAAAGAAAAATAAAATATTGAAGAAGAAAAAGTAAGAGAAATGAAACAAAAAAGAAAATATTTAAGAAAAGAGTAAGAGGAAAGAAATATAAAAGAAAGAACGAAATATATGCTTCAAGTCACTTTTACTTTTCTGCAGTTATTGTCAAGATTTGAGTGCAATATAGAAGACCAAATATTACATAACAGATCTTGTTTTGTTTTTGTTCTCACATTTCCAGTCTCTTAATTTGACGTATTCGCGAGAAGTCTTCACTTTCAGGTTTCTGCGTCAATGTGGAAGCTTTCTTTTAATAACTCCTATGCCTTATTTCTCCCTATAGTTAATTTTACATTTTATGTTATAATTGAATAGTATTAGGACGGAATCTATAGGCAGTTGTATTCTGTAGAGTGGTTGCCACTGAATGTTAGTTGTACGCGTTTATTTTTATTGAATTTCTACCTTACAGTGTAACAGTTTCCCTTATCTATGTATCTATCTCCCAAAAAATAGAAAATAAAATGATTAAACTGTTTTCATTGAGTTGATTTAAATTCTACAGGCACCGATGAATCTCCAACTGACACCAATACAGCCGGATGTCGATCATAGCTAGAGGCAAGCGGGCATCTAGCCACAATGATTAGCTGTGATACAGTGAAACATTCTGTGTGATTTTGTAAACAGTGACTATTACGGCTAATAGTGCAAGACTCTTCGGTGAAGCGAATCGAGCTATCTCAGTAACCGTGTGTTTATCTAAAAATAAATCCGATTAAATTCACCTTCATCCCTGACGTGTGTCCACGGATTGGAATCTCCGACTGACGGCAATTCAGCCGGGTTTCGGTCCTAGCTAAGTGGTAACCAGACATCTACCACACTGATGAGCTGTCATACAGCGAAACTGTCTGTCTGTGGCTGACTCTCTCTCTCTCTTTCTCTCTCTCTCTATATATATATATGTGGCATCTTGCATTATTAGAAATATTCATAGAAATATGATTTAATTTTTTCTTATTCGGTTTACTAAACAGGTTGTTGATTTTTTTTAAAACGGAAAATAACTGAGTTGAAAATAATTCACTAAGATTGTACTAGACGATCTTAAGGGAAGAAGAAGGAAAGAAAAGAAAAAAAAGAAAAGAAAGAAGAAGAGAGAAAAAGAGTTGTATGATGCATGACCCAATTGAGGGTGGAGATAGGAGTCAGAAAGAGATTTAGGTCAGCGTCTTGGCCGATTTTCGAAAGACAATTGGAAGAGTAGAATTAGAAATAATAAAAAGAAAAAAAGGGAAAAGACATGATATCAAAACGGGCCGCTGATGTAGACCAGATATCGTCAAAGCATCTGACCGACTTTTGCGTGGAGAGACTCCTTATCAATTTGGTTTAGAACAATAGAAATGAAATTTTTAATCAGAGAAAAAGTGTCTTTGGGTTGAGGGGAGTGACCGGTGGAACGATATACAGATATCCTGTTAAGAATTGGACACCCACGTTAATAAAGTGGAGACATTTTCAAAGTGGATAATTAAGATTTTCGACTATCAGGAAAAACAAAGAGGTAAAAAGAGGGACAGTTGCTTTTGGCTCACGGAGGGCGCCAAGAAGGCGGAAAAGATCCTTTCTAAAAGTCAAGACTAATTAGCGGCGGGCTGTTTGACAAAGTCCAGGTGAGAGAAGGCCAAGATGGTCAATTTTCGTACGTGCGAAAAAAAAAAAAAAATTAGATTTTTTTTTTTAACAAGAACGATGTAACCACGCCCGCAACAAGAGGAGAAAGGATGTTCGATCAATAACAATTGGTCGGAGACGGTCACGTGATCTGCGGAAGAGAAGGGAAAGAAATGCTCGATCAGGAACGATTGGTCGAAGACGGTCACGTGATCTGCGGAAGAGAAGGGAAAGAAATGCCCGATCAGGAACCATTGGTTAAAGCGGTCACCTGACATACGAGAGACTAAGAGAGATGGATGTGCGCCGCCCCACCAAAGGTACTATGAGGAAGTAGGGGTGAAAACAATAGCGATAATGGAGAAGACAGAATTAATGCAGCTTTTGGAATTATCGAGAAAACCCTGACGCCGACAGACCCACCCCAGTTTGTTGCGGCGTCAATATAAGCAGGACCCCAGTCGACAGAAATCAGTAGAGTTGGAGTTGCAGTTGGAGTTGAGAGTTGGACCGCGGGCAGGATAGAGCCTGAACGCGGCCATCAGGCCCGATTCACTCGCCCCTTTGCGGGCAGAAGAATCCTCAGACAAGAAATCCTTCCAGCCCAAGTCGAAGACAGGAGAACTTCCAGCCCAAGTCGAAGACAGGAGAACTTCCAGCCCAAGTAGACGAAGAAGAAGATTGCCTGAAAGCCTGAGAAGAATTGGAGATGCAGACAAGCCGAAAGTCGATGAGAAGTTAAAGTTCAGCCCCGGACGGCAGTGAGAAGAGACCACCTCAGACGACAGAGAGTTGCGGCTAAGTTGAAACAAGAAATCTTCCACCAAGTTGAAACAGGAAAACTACCAGCCTAAGCCGACGAAGAAGAAGAAATACAACTCAAGTCGGAGAGAAGAATCAACTGCGAATGATCGATAGAAATTAGCCCCAGTGTCGAACTGAACCACACTCCGACATACATACATGATTCTAGAAAGTAGGTAATTCGACATTTTTCTATTGTGTGATAGAAGCTTGGTGCCATAGTCCACAGAGCGGGTCGGGAATTGAGAACAATTTTGTTTTTTATGTAACGGACATTAAGATATAAAAGGTTGTTACCCTTTTTATCAGCAATTTTGTTTAGTGTCGTGAGTTTTTGTTTTATTTGTGTTTTGCCACCCCCGTCGGACTCGACTTGTATCGGCCCAAATCCCTGCTGGTCCCGTCTGTCTAAGATCTAAACACAGCGTGGGTAGACAGACCGGAGATCGGTATAGTTGCTTTAGTGACCAGGTATTGGAAGCGAGTCGGGAAAGGCGAGGCTGGTGATCATCTGACCAAAGGGTTGGAGCGGCACGCTTGGACCCAGGAGGAGCGACGTCACCGTTGGCGCCGTAACCAAAGGATCCGACACTGGGCCAGGTGTGTAACCGTCACATATATATATATATATATATATATATATATATATATATATATATATATATATATATATATGCCAGTAGTTAAATAGCTTCGTAGTGAAATGTAGGATTTGTCGCGTTTCACTGAATAGTTGCTGATAAACATTTTTCCAGCTAATTTGCACAATATGGCAACACCATTGTTTGGTTTTTGTTATTCTGTGTAACGTCCTTCATTTTTTTTATTTCCAATTCAACAGTTTTTGGTTGAAACACGTTAATAGCGTCTCAACTCTCCAAGAACATTAGGACATGGAAGAGGCCTCAACGATAAAACAAACATCAGCCATCACCAAGGAAAGTCGTAAAGGTTCCGGACTTCATGTCATTGCAGAATTGTTAGCACGTCACGTGGACACAGTTAGACGATTCTTGAAGTATCTTTTGCCAATGAAGAGTCGATCTTATTCTGTGACCTCCAAGACAGTGACAGCTACTGAATATTATGCGAAAGTCACAGGGGAAATCCGAACAAATAAACAATGCTATTTTCACCGCCGCTGAATTTCCTCATGTACCGAAAACCACCAGAAATCTTATTCTCAGGAACATGGCTTTCGGGCGAGTTCCCTTGAAACTGCTCCTTTTAAAGAATTTGAGGCTTCTATGGGTTCGGAAGTACATGACGTTGGATTTCTGTTGTATCCTATTCACTGAGGAGAATAGGGAGATTCTTGACGGACATGACGGTTGGGCAAATGTTTGGGTCTATTTAGGAGATGATTGTCACCAACGTTTACATCAGCAACTGGGTGGGGGAGTCTGGCTGTGGGCTTGTATCATTGGAGACAAACTTGTTTGCCCAGTTATTTTGCCTAAAGTGATCGCAGCGGCCGACTGCAGTCTCCTAAAGGAGTTCTTCGATTCTTGGGCTATATGACGTACCACTCTCATTCCTAAAGACTATAGTATTCATGCATGACAACGCTCACTCCCACTTTACCACGGTTTGTCTTACATTCGAATGGGTACTAGGTGATATGCTCTCTTCAAATCCAAACAATAAATTTTATATCTAGAGATTTCCGAAGCCGTGTTCTCCGTTCGTTTTGCATCGAGTCAATATTTCTAATATAATCTATAACTAAACACTTTTTATGCTGTTAGTTATGAATAACTAAATTTTAGCTGGTTTTTATTAACCTCAGTTTTGATATTGTATTCATCCGCAGTTCGAAATCTAGATTTCGTAGATTAGGTTTGTAGTTATGATCGCGATTCAAAATCAATAAGTTGTGTTATACTAATGTTCACTCAATACAAGGTTCAAGATCAACTGTAGATAGTATTCTGTGGTGTTCTATGAGCGTTAGAGAAGTCAAATGCAATGCAGAAGATTTGTTGGGAAAATAACTGCTAACCCTCGACATGAAGAGGTTAATATTATATTGATTAAGAAAACCTCCTACCCAGAGTCTGTTTCTTAAATCAGCACTTCTTGGGAAGCTGTTCGAATGGAACTTAATGAAATACGAAGGGAATGAAGGTGATTCATATTTGTGTACGCGGCATGGTGAATCCAAGCTACATTGGTCAGGTCAGGGCTGTTAGAGCGAAGGAATGCACATTGTGAGAACACTAATCATTTAAAGTAGAGAGAGAGAGAGAGAGAAAGAGAGAGTAGCGAGCGGTTTGCAACGTTTCGTTTGTAAGAAAGGTTGACGAGGATATCGCAACTATTTGACCCTGTGAATCTTGAAGTCAGGAATGTCTTTCTTAATCATTTATCGCTCGTTGCCACGATTCACACTGTCAATGTTGGCCCCATTTAGTGGCAATCAGACTGAGTGTATAATTAACATGACAACACCATAACTGTTATCTATCTTCTACCTTTTCCAATTAACTGATATCGCTTCTCGCTCTTTAGTCTCCTTTTCATTATTACTCTCCTTTTCATTATTACTCTCCTTTTCATTAATGCTCTCCTTTTCATTATTACTCTCCTTTTCATTAGTGATCTCTTTTCATTATTACTCTCCTTTTCATTAGTTCTCCCCTTTTCATTAGTGCTCTCCTATTCATTATTACTCTCCTTTTCATTAGTGATCTCCTTTTCATTATTGCTCTCCTTTTCATTATTACTCTTCTTTTCGTTATTACTCTTATTCAACTCTTCTCTCTAGTATTTCGTTTTCGCCGTCAGTCTCACTTTTATCCCGCCTTTTCTATTTTGCTCCATCACTTAATATTTTAGCGTTTTCAGTGCGCGTCACATTCAATTTCATTCCGTAAACTTTTTCTCACCATGAGATCTTTCTTTCTTTCTTTCTTTCTTTCTTTCTACGCTACTTTATCTTTTTAAAACGATTTCTTTTCTCTTTCTTTCTTCTCTTTTCTCTACATTTATTTTATCATTCAGTCTCTCACTTTCTACTGGTCATTTTCGCTTCCTTCCTCTTCCGTATTTTCTCTCTTATAATCCTTTATTTTCTCTCTCTTCCTACCCTTTTCTCTATTATTTTTCACTTTCTGTCTTCTAATACTTCCCTTATATTTTTTTGCTTAATCTTTCTTCCTTTCTATAACTGCTCAAATTTCTTTCTCGTTTTCCCTTGTTGCTTATTAACGTTTTCTCTCTCTCTCTTACAAACAATCTCTCTCTCTCTTCTATTCCATTCTTCTCATAATCTTTCACATGTTTTTACTTTTTCTACTTCACTTCCTCTCTCTTCATTCCTTTCTCTCTTATAATCCTTTTCTCTCTGTCTCTTCTTTCCCTTTTGTCGTATAAAGTTTAACTTGCACTTTCTTCTTACTATATATCTTCTGTTTTCTTTCTCTCTCTCGTTTCCCTTTCTCATAATCCTTCGAATTACTTTTTCATCCTTGTTTTCTCTTTAATAAGACTTTACCCCCTCTATTCCTTCAAATTCTTTTTCTTATCTTTCACGTTATATCGTTCTTGTCTTTTCTCCTTGTAATCTGTCATGTTATCTTTCTTCCTTTTATTCTCTCTTATAATCATGTTCTTTCTCTGTCTCTTATTTCTCTTCTATCTTTTAATTTTTTAATTTCCCTTCCCCATTCCCTTTTCTCTCATAATCCTTACTTTTTCATCTTACTTTTATCTTTCTCTTTAATTCATCCATTTCTCTAGCATGTTTTGAATTTATCGCTCTTCTTTCATTTTCTCTATTTTAATTTCTTTTTTTCTCTTTTTCTTTTTCAGTTTTCACTTTCACTTTATTCTTTTCCTTTTCACTTAGAAACTGACTTTCTTTCTCTTTATTCCCTTTGCTACTTATCTTTCCCTTCCTCTATCTTAATTTCTATCTCCCTTAAATTGCTTACATTGTCTTTTCTTCCTCTTTCGTCTTATGATTTTCCACTTTCTCCCTTCTGTATAATCTTTCACTCTGAATTTCTTCTTTCCATTTCCTCTCGCATTTTTCTTACTTACCTTCTCTCTTTTAATCCTTTACTTTCTTTCATGCTCTTTTTTTCTCTTATTCTCTTTTATCTTCTCTTTCTTCGTCCTTTTTCTCGTATGATCTCTCACTCTCACATTTTTTTAAAATTTTGATATCAAATATCACCCAACTGAAATTTGAAAATGGGTCATCAAAATATAATTTAACACCACTGAAAAAGAAACCTCATCTGTGATTTTTTATATTTATAATTTACAATGATGTTCACTATGTACAAGGCCCAACCGCCATATGAGGTAGATAGTTATAGAGTAAGGGGTACAGTTTTGGGGAATATGTTGGTAAGATAACGGTTGAAACTAAACTTGAAAAGTTTAAGTGATCGGAGAAATATTGTCTTCCGAGTCGGTTCCAGAAAGCAGCAATTTGTAGTAAGAAACTGATCGAAACTGATCATCTGTAAGATAGGGGTTTTAAGGTAGAAAATAATCCCAACAAACAAGGACGCTTTTGGGTTCTATCGGGTCTGGAAAAACTGGGAAGCTCCTGTCCATATATGGCAGCAGTACTCCATTTTCAGTCTGATCAGGTAGAGGATAGCAAGTGGAGTCAGCTACGTACTGGAGATGTAGAGGAAACAGGCCATTTTTTTCGCATCTTTACCGATGTATCTCTAGGTGTTCTATTTGTGGTTAGATTTGAATTTAAGTCCCAAGAGGCGGTCAAGTCCTCTCAGTGAAGATCTAAAATTACATCGTAATTGGCACACTAGACCAACATGAATAAATAGCTACCATGAACTGTCATATTTATTAAAAAAATATGATAGGGTTTGAATAATCGACACAATCCAAACATCAAGCAGAACACATGATGTATACACCACTATTGAAAACAAAAACCTGGAGCGTTGTGTTAAAGGGAGATAACTTAGAAAATTCGGAAAAGTTATGGCACGGGAAACTCGAACAGTCTATCCCGGTGGATGGAATAAAGTGTTCAGTACACTGTTACAAACACCCGAAGAAGGCTGGAGCGTACAACGGCCGAAATGTCGTGAATATGAAAATTCAGAGTTGTCCTTCTTCTAGACTAATTGCCATCCAAGGATGGAGAAGAGGATTCATAACTTTAGCACGTAAGTAAAAATAATGGATTCGACTGGAATGTATATATATATATATATATATATATATATAAAAGAAATATGTTATAGTGGTTCCAACGAGAAAAGTATGTATATTAAAAAGGGGGTGCCGCAAACGTTTTGGTTGTAATGTAATTATTTTTAAAAATATTATACTTTGTTTTACTTTCATTTCGAGACGTTTTTCTGAATGGAATTCAGAAACACGTGTCTGAATGTAAAAACAAAGTATAATATTTTTAAAATAAATACATTAAAACTAAAAAAACGTTTGCGGCACTTCTTTTTAAAATATATATATATATATATATATATATATATATATATATATATATATATATATATAACAGATGAGCCCGGTTAGTCGCTTGATATTTCTTTTTCAATTGTTTGTTACATGATTTGTTTTTTAATAACTTCACACCATGCAAGGCAATAAAGTTAGCAAGACGGAGGACGTTACTTAGAATGAAAGAATACATTAAAAAGTAAAATTAAAAAAAATAATAATGGAGAAGAACTATAAAAGGACAGGAATTAAAACATGGAACATAACGATTAACATAACATAAATTTTTGAAGATCTGCCTCAACAGGAAAAGCATGAAGCCGAAAGAGATTCCACTCGTAAGAAGTGCGAAAAAACAAAGTATTGCTGTAGAAATTTCAGATACAGCTAGCAGTCTAAAATATTTTTAGTCACTTATTTATTTATAATAATTTATTTTTAAATATATTTTTAGATTATTGACCAATGAATTCATATATATATATATATATATATATATATATATATATATATATATATATATATATATATACTAGCAGTAGAGCCCGGCGTTGCCTGGGATGTAACAGTAAGAGATAGATCAAGTATCGACCATCATAAAGACTGAAAAATAAAATTGACAAAGATTATTGTTTAAGGTTGACGGACACGCATGTCTTAATTAGTTTTTTTTTTTTTTTTTTTTTTTTAATTGGTCAAACCAAATTCAAACAAAAACATTGTTTTCAATCGTTATGAGTCTATCGATTGGTGAATAGAATTTTATTATAAACAATTGTCTTGTAAATGGAATTTTTAAAGCATTCTGAATGTAAATAAAGAAAAAAAAGTGTGCAAGACAATAAGAAATACTACCTGCCGAAAAAAAAAGTGGATGTTTGTTTTATCGGCTGAAAAATGTAAGAAATTCGATCCCATATAAAAACACAACACACACACACAAAAACAACATGGGTTTTTAACCTAAGTCCTCCACGGAATCGCTAAAACATAGAGCATAGTCTGATGAAAAAGACGCCAAAGTTTATGAAAACAAAATTTTATCGTCAAAATGTTTTTTTAGAGGAGGATAGACTAAATTTTTTTTAATTATTTTTAAAAAATTTTTCCATCTTTTAGAATATTCTAAATTTTGATGTAAAAAACCTTGTTTCTCTTTGTCGCAACAAGGGTAGTAAATAACATAGATAATTTTAGCGCATTTTTTGTATTTACACATTAATTTGGAAAATCTTGCAAAAATAAAAAAATAATTGTCAGATGTTAATGAAACTTTCAGAAACTATTCACAGATGATCGAAATTATTATAAATATAATTTTTTTTTTATTAAAGTCATGGCAGAAATATTTTTTTTATATTTATTAACACCCCCATAACTAATTTTATGAAAACTCTAGAAATTCGAGACCATCGGTTTTAGTGATTACAATAGTTAAAAGCACAAGGCTTTGAAGAATGCAAATCATGTTTTTTTTTTTTTTTTTTTTTTTTTGGCCAACGTACCTGAAAATCAGCTGTGAATTGTAACATACAAAACTCAATAAAACAAATATGTTATTTAGTTTCAAATGCTTTTATTTGTTTTAATTTGTTTTATGAATATGGACAATATTTTCTGAAAGCAAAAATTTTTTTTCAATGAAAATTGAATTTTTTAATACAATTATTTCTTATTTCTTTAATTTTAAAAAGATTTTTAAAAAATGTTTAAATTGAATTTTAAAAATATTTTAACATTAGTTAAAAGCAACATGAACCTTTCAAAATGTCCGTGTGAGATTGTCATTGTCTAGCGCTTTGAAAATTGTATAATTTGGACCAATCAGATTAGCCATGGTAATTAAGAAATGTAATTTTTATGTTTATAGTCGGACAGTAATTATCAAGTACGGAAGATCAACCAGAATACAATTTAGTTGCATTATTTGAGTTCAGCATTGTTCTCCGCTGTTAAGCCCTTTACTTTTGCGAAACACGTATGGAGAAGTTAATTTGAGTTTTCAATTTCAACTGAGAAGGGTACCTACAAGTAACAGTATCATCTTATGAAATTTAACTACTGCTAAACTTTAATTTATATGATCTTATTTTAATATTAATCTCAGTTATGACATTTTTCCTTAAATGAAATATCAAAATTAATAATAAAATGAATGGAAATACAAATAACACAGTAAAATGTAATAAATGTACATAAAATTATAGTATTTTATGTACACTTCTGATAAAATTTCATAAGAAAGGTACCTAAATTAATTAGATACCTTTTTCTTATGAAATTTAATCTCACTATTAACAGTCTTACTTTTTAATTTCTTTATATTTTCCATAAAGCATCGTAAACGTAAAAATGAAAGCTATGTACAAAAAAAAATAATAAAAAATTAGAGCGCTGAAAGTTTTCCTTAAAGTAACAAGGTAAATAATTTGTTCACTTAAATAATTTCACTTCCTTCCACCCGTAGAAAGAATTCTCCTCCCGTAAGTTATCTAAACGTCATGAATGTGCCTTTCGTCAATCGTCAAGCGACGCGAAAGGTTATGACCTGCTTTGTTTTATTTTCAAATTACATTTTTCGGCACAGAAGCTAAGTTAAGCTTGGTTCAAAATATTTTAAATAAACAGTATAAAATCTGTTTTTATTAAAATCAGTTTTGAAAAAATGATAATTGACTTTTTAAAAGAATATCAAAGTAAGATTTTAATCTTTTTTTCAATCAAATCGAAAAAATGATTATCTGCCTTTTTTTGACAAAAAAAAAATATTTTAACGAAAATTTCAGACGTGCTAGGAACGATTAAAAAATGTAAAAAATAGCCCCAAAATACTTTGATCTTTCCTCTTTAATAATAATATGAACATTAGACGATAAAATTTTGTTTTCGTCAAGTTCGGCTCTTTTTCATCATGCTATGCTCTTTTGTTTACATTTTCGTGGGTGAGTTCTCCCCTTTCATTCTCATGATGTGTCTTAATCTTGTTTTCAAATTGATTTTATTAAAAAACAACTGTATTTTTCCCATTTTCGGCCCCGTTAGAACCACCACAAGGTAATTTTATGTAGTCCTGTGAAGTTTTGTTGAAATCGGCTAAAAATGTAAGAAATTTCAACCAACATATAAACGTTACAGACACACACACACACACAACCTGCGTTTTTATAATGAGTAAGATATATATATATATATATATATATATATATATATATATATATATATATAGAGAGAGAGAGAGAGAGAGAGAGAGAAAGAAAGAAAGAAAGAAAGAGATAGAGGGAGAAAGAGACAGGGAGAACGAAAAGAATATAAATTCAAACGTCCATAACATTAATTTAAAAAAGGGCTCAATACAAGTGTAGAGCAACAGATATTTATTATAGAATGTTATATTGGAACATGCATATTTGTTTCGACGTCTAAAAGACATCTCATCATGTGGTTAACGTTACAACCAACGTTAACAACCTGATGAAATGTCTTTTAGACGTCGAAAAATATGCAGTTTTTGTGGTAACTTGCAAGTTCTAGTGTAGCAGTTTATACATACACACACACACACACACACACACACACACACACACACACACATATATATATATATATATATATATATATATATATATATATATATATATATATAACCAGACGTCTAGCCACACTGATGAGCTGTGATACAGTGAAACACCCTGTCACGGAATGATAATATATGTACT